ACGATACCAACTATTATAACAGCAGAGTAATATCTAATAATAAATATAATAAAGTGTATAATAAACTATAGTACAGTAATATAGAATATAATAGAAAAGATATATATATGATGTGTACAGATTAACAAGTAATACATATTATACAGTATTTAACACAATATAATGAATATATTCTGTGTGTGTGAGGACCTGAGTGAGGACAGTCTACAGTGACTCTATGAGTAATCAGCTGACTGGAAACACACACGACAGGAAGTGCTGTCTAGGCTCTTTTGGGACTGATACAGGAAGTGTGTGTATGCTGAGGGAGTTCTAAGGAACTTTCTTACAAATAATAAAGTGTGTGTGTGTGTGTGTGTGTGTGTGTGTGTGTGTGTGTGTGTGTGTGTGTGTGTGTGTGTGTGTGTGTGTGTGTGTGTGTTACCTGTACAGGTGGTCTGGAGGTGATCAGTGATCCATTCTCACTGTAGGAGAACACAGTGAAGTCTGCAGGAAGCAGCAGTCTGAGAACAACAATGTGTGTTAATGTCTGTGTCTGTATCAGGGAGCTTGTGTTTGAACCACTGACAGTTTATATCACAGACCTTCTTTAACCTGTATTCTCTCTATCGGCCAGCAGGGGGCGCTCCACTGGCTGCAATATAAACCGATACCATTCTGTCTTATAGAGAAATGAGTTGACTTCTCTTTTATTCCCTCAGTAAACAGTTTCCTGATGAGTTTCTGGTCTCAGTCTCTAGTTTCAGTCTTCTTCCATACAGCATGATGTTCATTTAGTAACTGATGGTCCCATTTAGAGTAAAACAGACCATAAAGCAGGGTATGCTTTAGGGCGGGGCTACCTTGTGATTGACAGCTCATTCTCAGTGAGTCCGTCCAGCTCAACCAAACTCAGATCAAAGTGTCAAACAGTGCTGATCAGATATGGATCCAGATTCTGTTGTTGACTATTTCTCTCCTCAGATCTGTTCACAAACACATTTTACTGTTTATCTGGAACTTCAGGTGACACCTTTTATTTTATTTTACTGAACTTCCTCCAATAAAGTATCAATGTATGATCGTTATTGGTCCATTATCCATCACACAGTCCTACGTAATAAAAACGAGGCTGTTGTTTCTCAGATCATCAAACCTTCTGAGAAACAAAGTGAGGAACGACTTTATCTAATATAGTTTAATATTTGACTGTGTGGGTTTAAGAGCATTCAACTAGTTCACAGAGGTAAACTGTGTTTTAAGGTAAAAACATACCTTTTAATTATCCTTCTTCCTGTTATTGGTTTTACTGTTAGTCAGTTTCTAGGTTTCATGCCGGTAATCAGCTAATAAAAAGCCAATAAAGATTTCTGATTCGCTTTGAATAAATGAAGATAATTAAAATGTAAATAAACACAGTTGTGTTAAAGTTAATAAATAAAATCCACACATGTAAAACAGTTGCAGGTAGAGGTTGGGAGGTGCGTGTGTATTGATTTTAAGGAGGTGTTGTATCAGACTATTGATGCATCCATTCATTTAAACTGAAGACTCTGACTCTGGTTGGATATTGTTGAGTCGACCTTCAGAGGAACCTCAGCAGACGTCACTGTGGAGCTTCCTGATTGAGACAGTGAAGTTTATCAGTTTGTTCCCAGCAGTGAGATACGGAGAGAGGACGGAGGCTGGTTATCAGCCGTGTTGATGTAAACGCAGTCAAAGAGCAGATAGAGTATCAGAGAGGTTTCTCTTCTTCTGTCCACATCAAAAACCTTCTGACGGACAAACACTGATGAAGACTGATAGAACTTTACATTTACAGTCAGTTGGATTTAAACAGCGTCTGTCCGATAATGTCTCAGTGATTAAATGTGCTTCATTCAACACGTAGATTTACTTTATTTTATCAGTTTTAAAAACATTTTCTTACTGAAAGAGCTACAACGGATTCTATTGATCAGTATACACTATATCTTTATAGATGATATTGATCAGTATACACTGTATCTTTATGGATGATATTGATCCTGTATTGACAGTCAGACTGTGGACATATGACGGCCTTTAGCTCGTGTTTCTAGAGTTACGTGTTGTTACGAACACGTTAGGAATTGTTAAAATGTGATATTTCTTAAAGGGAGTTTGGTGCAGATAAAACAGACTTACTCATTTCTCTCCAGATGGACAACATGATCATTTCCATCCACACTGATGACATAAGAGACCTGCAGAGAGACAGACAGACGACTTATTAGTCACACAACAGAACCTCAGTTATTATCACTGGTGACAGCTGTGTTTACCCGACTATTTAATGTCAAAATGGCTGCTGTGAAAAAGGTCTATTTGACTCAAATAGTTGGAACAGAACATATTTACTCTACACACACAGAAACTAATCATAAAAACAATCAGAATTCTACTTTCAGGTAATCAATAGTTACAGAAACTGAGTGAGATCAATGAACCAGAGACATGTTGGAACAACCTGTAATACCTGGCAGTCTGACAGGTATTGTATAATGATGCATTTTATTCATGAACATTGAACATTGAACAGGATGCAAAGACTTCAGTTTCACTTTTACAAAAGGAAATATGCATAATTTACACCCTTAAGAAAACCACAGCGTGAAGTCAGTGTGGTGAACCATTACAGGTAAGACATCCTCGTTCTCATGCAGGTGTGAACAGGAAGCTCCAGAGAGGCTGAAAGTCCAAAAACTCTCAAATAAAACACAGAAAAACTAAACTCCAAGGTCACCTGAGTGTCTGACTCACCTGGCAGTGTGTGTGTGTGTGTGTGTGTTATAACTGCAGCTACCAGCAGGTATGTGATTACTGCGGGGGTGAACACAAACAAACCACACACACAAACACACACACACACACACACACACACACACACACACACACACACACACACACTGACAGGTGGTGTGTGTGTGTGTGTGTGTGTTTGAGGTGAATCAGGACAGGAAGTCAGCGGTGGACTACATCACCCAGCTGCCAACAGCAGCTCCTCTGTCCTCTAACCCAGCGGGGGTCAAAGGTCATCAGAGGATCAGACACACCTGCTCTGCCAGGAGAGAGAGGTTGAATCAGATCTCACAGCGACTGATTATTAATTAATACTCATTATAACGTTTGTGTATTTTTTCATGATGTTTTGACAACGTATCAGTGTTTTCTTTAACTACACAGAGATAGTTAACTTAGCTTAGCATAAAGACTGTAAGTAGGGGGAAACTGTTAGCCTAGCTCAACCAAATGCCAGCCCAGCCGTGGTTGGAGAAACATGAAACTGCTCACATGTTTTCATGTAGGAACTATTTTCTGTGGGTCATGAGACTGTTAGGTTTTTTTTTGTGGCTTTGAGCTCCGTCTGGTTCTGTTATATTATACTTTATATATATATATATATATATATAGTATAATATATATATATATATATATACCGACATCTGTAACCTCCGTTCACTACAACAAGCAAAATACTATTTTTCATTTTGTTTTACGAGTCTCACAAAGAGATCTACAATCTGAATTTCATTATGTAACCCTGAGTTATAAATGAAACAACCTTGAATATCTGCTCTCACTGTGACTCACTGCCTCCTTTACCTGGAGAGGACGCCGTTAAACAAACACACCTGGACTCACAGAGTACACCGGCTGCAGGTTCGTCCTCTGTTTGCAGAGCGCAGCTGACTGTGAGCTCTCTCCTCCAGTCTCCCTATTCCCAGTGCGTAGGAACAAAGGATGAAAACACCTGACCCACATTCCCTGTGACCACCCACAGGTAACAGCGAGCACCTACAGGTAACAGCCCACAGGTAACAGCGAGCACCTACAGGTAACAGCGAGCACCTACAGGTAACAGCCACAGGTAACAGCCCACAGGTAACAGCCCACAGGTAACAGCCCACAGGTAACAGGGAGCACCCACAGGTAACAGCCCACAGGTAACAGCGAGCACCCACAGGTAACAGCGAGCACCCACAGGTAACAGCGAGCACCTACAGGTAACAGCCCACAGGTAACAGCCCACAGGTAACAGCCCACAGGTAACAGCCCACAGGTAACAGCCCGCAGGTAACAGCCCGCAGGTAACAGCCCACAGGTAACAGCCCACAGGTAACAGCCCACAGGTGCTCTCTCATGTCTGTACACTAAATATGAAGCTACAGCCAACAGCTGGTTAGCTTAGCTTAGCATAAAGACTGGAAACAGGGGGAAACAGCTAGCCTGGAAACATCCTGACCAAGAAATAAGAAATACCACAAACCTGTCTCATTCACACGGCCCGGTTATGTAACCTGTTAATCAGTGGATGTTGTCACCTCTGGACCAGAACCAGAACCAGAACCAGAACCAGAACCAGGCTAGCTGTTTCCACTCTTTATGCTACGCTAAGCTAACCAGCTGCTGACTGTAAGTGTTAATAAAGAGTCTTCAGCTTTATTGTCTCTGAGAGAGCGGGAAGAAAAACATGGCTGCAGGCGCACACACACACTCACACACACACACACACACACAGACACACAGACACAACACACACACACACACACACACACACACACACACACACTAATATCATACTTTCACACACCGTCACTCCCTCAGAGTATGCTCACATTTCACCAGAGTATGTAAGAATGTGTCTGTGTGTGTGTGTGTGTGTGTGTTGAACCTGTTCCAGCATGCAGGGCGGGAAAGAAGATGACAGCAAGGGAACACACACACACACACACACACACACACACAGAGCAGAGACGTGTTGTTAGAGAAGGATTTAATCTTGCTGTGTGTGTGTGTGTGTGTGTGTGTGTGTCTGTGTGTGTCTGTGTGTGTCTGTGTGTGTGTGTGTGTGTGTGTGTGTGTGTCTGTGTGTGTGATGATGGTGAAGTTGTTCTTGTGTGGAACTTTTCTTCCACTGCAGTTCTACCGGGGACACTTTTAGCTGCGCACAGCATTATATTAATGTCACACACAGAACCTTTAAATGTGTAAATTATAAA